TGTGTGTGTGAACATTCACGACAAGAAGGCCAACAAGTAGATGTACTCACTCCCAGAACTCGGTGACAGGGTCTAGGAGCGTGGTCTCGTTGACGCCCGTCTCGTTGGCTGTAACCTTGAAGTTCTCCGAACAGTTGGCCGTGTTCCAGGAATGGCCGCACTTCTCCCAGGGCAGCTCCGAGGTAAAGGAGGAGAAGAAGTAGTAGAAGGCCCAGGACAGGATCACGTTGTAGTAGCAGTTCAGGAAGAACACGATGATGCAGGAGGCAAGGCCGATGCCTGAGCAGGGCAGCGGGGGGCAGAAAATAAGACATTATAGATGAATCTTGTCTTATTTTATCGTATCTCAACTTATCATCTTATCTTACCTTATCTAATCTTATCATATCTGCTTATCTTACCGTATCTTATTTCATCAGACAGATACACAAAGGTATAATCTAACAGGATGGCGGCCCACGTTAGGAGAAAGACATTTGTATAACAGACAGACACACATGCGTATAACAGACACAAACAGATAGATTTTACACGCGCTGAAAAGCACACAACCATATCACCCCACCAAAGAAAACAACAACAACAACAAACAAACAACAACCCCCCAACCCCCCCCCTAAAAAAAACAACAACAAGCAAGCAAAAAAAAAAAAGCAACAAAAAACCCATCGCGCAAAAATATGAAGATTAGGTTAATTTAAATCAATTAAGAGTGCAGTACTCAAACATTTGAATGAGTTGGGGGTAAAATGAATAAAAACAAAATCTGGTAAAATATCTTTTGTTGGAAAAGGTAAGTATAAACAAACAAACAGACAGATTAAAACAATAACCAAAAAAAAAAACCTCAAACATTTTTCCTCCGGAATCAGAGTGTATAGTCTTGGATATTACGAAACAAATCTATGGCGTACAGTGATATCGCCACCTCGGAATAATAATTACAAAGTTCTGTGTGACATTTCTGGCCGTTTCGAGTTACTAAGACCATGGGGTCAGAAATCAATAATCAAAGTTCTGTCTGTTTTGTCAAAATCGTTAGATTATTCGGAGTCGTTGTCAAGATATTCAAAGAAGCGACGAGCCAGGCGCGATCGGCTTGTGCCACGATAACCTGCTTTGCGCCCTCAGTCTGGCTAGCAAATCGCCCCTCCCTGCTCCGTCACGCCCC